TTTTTGCTATGTATAGTGAAACAGAGATGAGCAAGAATTACTGCCTTTGAGGAGTTCAAAGTGTAATGGGACATACATACACACACAATAGAAGTGAGAAGAGGGATACAACAGAAGTAGAATTGGATGCTTTTTGGACCATGCACAGGGAACAATTCATTTGGGTGGGGTCAGAAGAAGGCTTTTTAAAGCAGGTCTCAATGGAAGACAAATGTAGAGCAGGCACTGCAGGCTTAGGGGACCAACTGAACAATGCTATGTGTGTGGACACAATGCTGTATGTGTGTGGTCAGAAAGTGGCAATGTTTTGTTGAGGGTGTTGCTAAAGGTGCAGATGGGAAGTGGGGCAGATGTGGCTGGAGAAGTAGAATAGTCCTATTTATGATGCCCTTTGGTTGCTGAAAGAATTTAGTCTCTAGAATTAACCCATAGGTATCTACTCCTGAATGAATCCATAAAAAATTATGGTCTGTGTACACAATGGAATGTGATTCATCATGGAAAAGAAGGGAATTCTGTCATTTTCAGGAATGTGGGCAAAACTGGAAGGCATGTTAAGAGAAGCAGTGCTCAGAAACACATATACCACATGTTCTCACCTGTACATGGAAGCTAAAGGTCAATCTCAAAGACATAGGGAGCAGAATAATGGTTACTAAAAGCAGGGAAGAGTGTGGTGGCGGGGAGATGGGGAGAGGTGGTTTGTGGGTACCGGGGGGTAGGAGAAATAATTTCAATGTTCTGCAGCATAGTGGGATACCTATTTTTTTTCCCTCCCCTCCGGTACTGGGAACCAAACTCACGACCTTGCGCTTGCCAGGCAGGCGCTTTGCTGCTGAGCTAAATCCCCAGCCCCAGTGGGATACCTATGGCTGGCAGCAATTAATTGAATATTTCAAAATAGCCAATAGAGAAAATTTTGAATGTGTTTGACACAAAGAAATGACAAATGTCTGAGGTGAGAGATAAGCCACTTACCCTGATCTGATCATTATGTGCTCTATGCATGTATTGACATGGCACACTGTACCCCACAAATAATATGTAACTGCTGTGTGTCCATAAAAGAGAAGAAATGGGTTTTAAAAGAGTTTAGACTCTATTCTACAGAAAAGGGAAGCTTTATATCTTTTGGGGAAGGGATGAAGTCAGGGGAGCTGTGTTTGACAAACCAGCTGCGGTGGTGTGAGTGGAGGGATGCAGAGGAGGACAGCCAGGTGTGCTGTCCTGCCACTTGTGGTGCTGCCAGGGACTCCTATTTCCGCCTTTAGGCTTAAGGACTCTTATTATGGGAAGCAATTGGAAAGATAAATGAAAAGCTGGGGCTAGGGCTGGGGGTGCTGGCTGTAGGTGGCAGCCTATGAAACAGTCTTTCCCGGGTGGTTAGTAGTTTATTATTCGCTCCAGGGACTGACAATGTGTTTTTATAGAACATTATATAAAATCAGCAATGCTTGCAGACCACCAGAGATATCATACTCACATATAAACACACACACACACACACAGACATACACATACGTGGCTGAAAACCATGTAAAAGGTTTCAGATAACCTAAAAGTAAGCAGAAAAGTAATGTTTTTTTCAGTTTCCTGGGCTGGTCACATTGGAACAGGTGGAACCCATTGGGGTTGAGCTTCACCTCTCAGGCTGACTCGGCTTTTTGCTTGTTTTCCTTTCACGCACACACCACACACAGAGGCTTGGAACAGCTGTCTGATGAATCTCTTTGGATAGTTACTATGCCCTTGGTGGCAGAAACTATTCTTAGTTCATCTTAAGCTCCATGAAGAACTTGACACAGAGTAGGGACTTAGTTATTGTGGAAGGAAGGAAGGAATGAAGGAATGAATGAATGAATGAAGGAAGGAAGGAAGGAAGGGAAAGGAAGGGGAAGGGAAGGGCAGGAAGGAACGGGGAGGAGGGAAGAAAGAGTGGAAGAAAGGAGGGCTGGCTGGGGGCTAACTGTAGCTGAGAATTTGGGGTTTTCCTGGATGAGAGCAGTTAGGAGGGTTAGTGAAGAGTGACGAGTGATGAGCTCACCATGCTGAGGGTGAATGAACTTGATTAACCAAAATACATGCACGTACTCAGTTAAATGAAACATATTTCCATTATGTTGAGAGAGGAAAACTATCATGCCGGAGTAAGTTAACTAGGAAGGAAAAGCATCCTAATTTGAAACATGGACTACTGGGTAAAAAAAAATCTTGAAGTCTAAAATCTAAAATCTAATTATTTTAAAGAAACTCCCAGTGAACATACTTATACGTTTGTTTGCACTTTTGTTCATCCATTCATTGGAAGCTAAGATTATGAAGTTGAAGCCAGCCTGCCTGGGTTCCAGCCATGGGTCCCTCACTCACTCTGTTGTTTTTTTGTTTTTTTCCAGTACGGGGAATCGAACTCACGACCTCACGCTTGCCAGGCAGATGCTGTGCCGCTGAGCTAAATCCCCAGGCCCCCTCACTCACTCTGTGGCTTGCTACAACTCCCTCAGACTGCACCTCAGTGCTTGCATCTATAAAGATGGAGTACCGATCAAACTACTCATAAGTTGGTGTGGGAAGTCATGGCTTCTTGGATATAAAGCTTTTAGAACAGCAGCTGGTATAAATTCTTATTAATGCCAGCTATTTTACTCTCTCTGTGTGTCTGTATTTAGAGCTCCCTACATATCAGGCACATTTGAAACACAGTCAGCCTATTTTTCTATGCCTTTCAGATCCCTGGATTCTGCACCTGTGGATTCAGTTAACTGCAGATGGAAAACTCTTAGAAAAAATAGTATCTGTATTGAACATGTGCAGACTCTTTTCTTTACCATTATTTTCTAAACAACATAGTATAAAGATGACTGACACAGCACTTACATTGTATTAAGTATTAAAAGTCACCTAGAGTAGTTTAAATTATATGGGAGGATGCGTGTAGGTTCAGTGCAAATATGACTCAATTTTAGAAGAGAATTAAGCGTACATGGATTTGGGTATGTGCAGAGAGGTCTTGGAGCCTGTCCCCCATGACCAACAAGGGATAATATACTAGGGATAAAGAGGCAAAGATGATGCTGTCCCACCGCAAGGAGTTCAGAGTCTGGTGTGGATGTCAAGAAGGGCAAACGGTTCCAGTACAACATAGCAGGCTTTATGAGAGAACTATGTGCCTCACATACAAAGAGGACCCCAAGGAAACCATCTGCTGATCACACCTGTGTTCATCAAGCTTGCCTCTGACCAACCTTCCCTTGAATCCCTTGTTTTCTTTTCTTGCAAGGCCAACTCCTTTCTTTTTTTCTTTTTAAAGAGAGTAGTAAATGAGAAACAAACAAAGAAATAGGACAACAGCAGCATACCAGTATCACAAGCATAAACAAATCAAAGCAAGAACATTCAAAGTGATACAGAGTCTCAAGACAAAGTAATATGAATCAATAGTGGTTGTTACATTACATATCGCTATTCTCGACAACATTGCTCAGATTACCTGCTGTAAGAATGAAAGATTGCTCAAACCATTATAGGGAGTGAAAAAAAATTTCTTCGATAAAACAGTAGAGATCATACAGTTTCACTAGACCAGATGATAGGAGTTCACCATTGTAATTCCATTGCATATTGCTACCTTCAAATCAGTTGCTCAGACCACCAGACACAAGTATGCAAAGTCGATCAGAACATACAAAATTGTAATCATTAACTGTCCATTTCAATACACCACCAGACATCAGCAATACAGCTATTCATATATATGTTTATATTTTGCGTTCCTTCTTCTTTTTTTTTTTTTTTCTTTATTTTTTTCCGGTACCGGGAATTGAACTCACGACCGTGCGCTTGCCAGGCAGGCACTGTGCCACTGAGCTAAATCCCCAGCCCCCTCTTCTTTCTTTGTTTTTTCTTTCCCTCATCTCAGTCATTCCTTCCTTTGAGCAATTTCTTTCCCTTTACCTCAAGCTGATCAAAGCCATCTATAATAAACCAACATCATACTAAATGGTCAAAAATTGAAAGCTTTCACTTTAAAATCAGGAACAAAACAACGATGTCCACTGTCACCACTCCTACTCAATATAGTTCTGGAAATATTGTCTAGAGCGATTAGATAAGGGAGAGAAATAAAAGGAATAAGGATAGGAAAGGAAGAAGTGAAATTACCATTATTTGCAAACTCTTTTCATCTATGTCCCTCAGTATGGAAAGGAACTCCAACTTTTTCTAGACCTTTTGTTTAGAAAGGATAATTCCTAGCTTCCTTGTGTGGGGAGACAGGTAAGGGGATGGGAGGTTGAGCTATGCTCCCTGTTGGCCAGTGGAAGGAGAGAATAATTAGAAGAGAACAACTCCTAGGGAAGGCCGGTTGCAGGACAGATTCAAGTTTTAACTAAAGAGAGGCATCTTACTTAGGGTCTTGGTTTGCCTGGTAGATGTGGACAAAGGGTAGGCTGTGTATTACAGAAGAGTAGCAGGCTAGTGAATTAGAGAAAAGAGAGCTAATATAATGGGCTTTCTGCTTCTCTGCTTTGAGCCTGCCTACCTCATGCCCCTGTCAGTAATCTGAATGGGGAAGGCAGCGACATCTAGAATTTAGTAACCTTCATGGTTTTTCCTTTTTAGATTTCACTGCTGCATTGAGGAGACCTGCCCCTAAAGAAATCATTGAGAGAAAAGCCTGGCAATAATTTTGACTTTCTATGGATTTTTGGAAGCTATCATTTCTTCCTGCTGCCCACTCCCTTTTATAAGGCGCCACTACTCACAGTAACAATTTTCTGTTTGGAAATCATTGTCCGTGTATGCGTTCATGTTGATGTTCACAACATCCCTGTGAGACAGACCCTAGAGAGAGGCTTCTTGTTATTTTTATAGAATAGATACTGTTAAGTGAGGTTAAGCCTGTCCATCCAGAGTTGAAGGATAGAGCCAGGACTCTGGCCTGGAGGCTGTGGCCTGGGAGTCCTGTCCTCAAATACAAGCTGTCAGCAAAGCAGGTGGCTTACCTCCTTTCTTCCTTCCACAGAAGGAAAACTTGGGTAGGTCCACCTCACAGATGGGGTAGGAGTAATTGAAAACAGAGGCACCTTTACTGATGAGAACTATGTCAAGATACAGCTCTCTGATGTCCTCCCCTAAAAGGAAAGAGAAGAACAACTTTATTATTGTGTCTCACCAGTAACACAATACATGGAGAGCATCTAAATCTTCTACCAACAAGGTAAAGAGCCTTTTCCTTCCATTCCTCTGCTCTTTGGAGGGCACAGTGTTCTTCTTTTCTTGGTGAAACAGTCTTTAACCCATGCTAAAGGGTATTAGGGTGACAGTTGTCTAGGTCAAGTTTTAAGAACTTACATGAACTCATTTGGGCCAAACTAATGCAAATGCCAAATCATGCTGCTAGTAGTCAGTAGTAAATTTGTTTGTGGCCAAGACAACTAAGCAAAGGTTCTCTCCTATGTGCATATCAATACTTAGTCTCAAAATGCTTTCATTGCTTTTTGTCAAGTGTACTTGTTTCGGGTGCTTATGTCAACCAAATGAGTGTCTAGGGTCTTTTTAGTACAAGACCATAGCTCTAAGTGTGAGTTCTACTCTACCTAGGTATTACTCAGAGAGAACTGAAAATGAAGATGGGAGTAGAGTTAATACCAGAGGTGGGAGGTGAGGGTCATAGGAGTTTAGTCACCCAGCTGACTTATGTTATAATTATATCTTAGTTGCTTTTCTTTTGCTGCCTGAGACAAAATACCCAATGCCCAAAATTAAGGGAGGAAAGGTTTATTTAGCTCACAGTTTGTGACAGTTTTAGTTCATAATCAGCTTGGTCCAAGGCAGGGTGGCAGGGCACAGGGCAACAGTTCAAGGCAGCAGAAGATAGCAAAAGCAGAAAAAGCACAAAACGAAGGAGTGCAGAGAGCAAGCCTCTTTCTCTCCCTTACATCATATGCAAACTGCCCACCCCAGGGCGGGTGCAGTATTCACACCCATAACCCTAACATTGGACCATGAATCAATCATAAACTCTAGGAGCCTGCCCCATGACTGCATGAGGCTTTGTGGGGAACATCTATACAAAACCATAACACTCCACCCCGGGACCTCAAAGACTCATGTACACCCCTTATGCAAAAGACATTTTTGTCCATCTCTAAGAGTTGCCAAAGTCCTAACAGTTGCAGTGTTGCTGAAAAGTCCAAGTCTCAAGTCTCCTCTGAGATTTAAGGCAAACTCTTACTGTGAGTCCCTGTACACATGAAAAATTAAACATTTCCAGCATTCAGTGGCAGAAGATAAACATTGCCATTCCAAAAGGAACAAACAGGAGGATAAAAAGCATTGGGACCAAAGCAAGTCCAATATCCAGCAGGGCAAACATTAAGTCCTGTAGTTCCATGGAATACCTAAAGCAATGTGTGGTAAATTATGAGCTCTAACAGGCTTGTGTGACTCCACCCTTATGGTACTTCTGGTGGTTGTAGCTCCTAGGGCTTCTCTCTTGAGCCTGCTTTGCTCTTTCCTTGCAACTTTCCTCAGACAATCTGTGTTTCAGGTTTCTCCAACCTGCTGAGATCTCTACTGCACTTTAGGTTTTTCACTTACAGCTTCACACACTGCCCTCTTAGGGGCACATTGCCTGGCCTCCCAGGCCTTTTGAAATCTGGGTGCAAGCCTTTTTAACTGCAGAACTCTTGTATTCTCCATGCATCTAAAACCAGGGGCATGTGGATGATGCCAAGGTCTTCTGCCACCTGCAGCAGTAGCCAGGCTTTCTGCTCTCTTGGCTGTAGGGGTTGAGTGCCTGGATTGGTAGGCACTCTGAATTCAGTTCTGAGTAACAAATTTTTGGCTGTTGCCACCATTCTGGAGCATGGCACTCTGTGGTTTTATCCTTAAAACAGAGTCTTCCAACTTTGCAGTTTTGAGCCTGCAAAGGGTGGAGATTTGTTGCTTCTGTTGATGCCCCAAGGCCATCTTTTTGATTCCCTTGTTCCTCCTCAGCAATCAAGATCTCCTCAGCTCTCTCTTTGCAGTCCACACATTTACTGGTGTATTCCTTTTGTCCAAACTCACAATGTTTTAAATCATCCTGTTGGGCTCTTTGTTCTTGATTCTCAGCATAAATCTGGCTAAAAGCCTTCAACAATAGCCATGCCACCACTTCAACATTCGACTGCCTTGAAATTTCTTTTGCCAGATTAATCAGTCTGCCCACCTTAATCTCAGTCTTAGGCAAAGACTCTGGACACAAGCAAAATGCAGACAAACTTTCTGCCAAGCCATAATATACATCATATGGACTTCAACAACCAGTGCAGTTTTTTGCCCAGCAGAAACCTCCCAAACCTGGTCTTTACTAGCAAGATTTCTATCAGTCTTCTGGTCTTCTGAACTCTGATCAGAATCTCCCATACAGAACAGCCTAAGGCATTCAAGAACTTCTCTTTCAGGCAACATCTGTGAACCTTCCCATCCACTTCCCACAAGCCATTTCCAAAGGCTCATGAACCACATGATCAGGTATAGTCACAGCAACAACCCCACTGCTGGTACCAAATCTGTCTTAGTTATTTTTTTCTCATTGCCTGAGGCTTTGGGGGTACTTCCAGACACAAATCATAACAAGTTAACATGTGTCAATTGAGTGTGTGGCCTAGGAAGAGCTTGTAGCATAAGAAGAGCTTGTGCCATGTTTTATTTCATGCTAATAATTTCTACTTACTCAGAATGATGCCAACTCTAATGTTGAGATTCGGTTTCAAATGTTTGGCACACTGGTCAACAGAAAAGCCAAAATCCTGTAATGGATCTGCCAAGAGGAAACAACAGATTCACTGCGAGTGCATTGCACATTCTGAAAATTCATATTCAAAATTTATAATTATATTAATTATATTAATATAATTATTAATATAATTATATTAATTATATTAATACACTAGTCACTAAAATTTATTCAAATCACTGGGCATGGTGAAACATGCCTGTAATTACAGCACTCGGGAGGCTGAGGTAGAAGAATCATTGTGAGTTTGAGACTAGCCTGGGCTACAAAGTGAGTTCAAGTCCAGCCTGAACTGCATAGGGAGACTATGTTTCAAAAAGACAAAAAAAAATTTATTCAAAACATATTGCTCAATACTTTTTTCTACTGGGGATTGAGCCCAGAGGTTTTACAATGAGCTATGTCTCCAGCCCTTTTTATACTTTTATTTTTGAGACAAGTTCTCATCAAGTCTCTAAGTTGCCCAGGCTGGGCTTGAATTTGTGATCTACCTTCCTCAGCCTTACAGAGTGCTGGTATTATAGCCGTGCACAAACATGTCCGGCTTTTAAAAAACTTTTAAGTCGGTAATGTTTTCACCAGCTCCTCCAAGTCTCTCCAAAATCAACATCACATTCACTTTTACAGCTTGTCACTGTCAATTGTTCAGTGACATATTCGTTTTGATAACAGTGTCTCAATCCATTGAGCGAGCACTGTCTTTTTTTTTTATTTTAAAAACAAAAGGAGGGAAACATTAACAGACAGACAACATTTTACAAAATAGCCAAAGAACAGTACAGGCAACACGGAGTTACAAACAAAGTGGTAGGGAATTAACAATGCTTGTTGTATTACATATTGATATCTTCAAAGTGGTTTCTCATGAAAACAGATATAGACATGTGATACTAATCAACCAAGGACTCATTGACAGTTTCTTTCGGCAAAGAAATACAAGACAGTAGAATAGCCATGTTAACTATCCTGCATATACATACAAACAAAATTTCTCCTTCTATCCCTTTTCTTTTCCCACATCCCAGTTGCCCTTTACCCTTGAGTGCTTTCTTATCATTTCACAATGTCCATCATACCTCCTAGTTTAAATTAATTCTTTCAGGTTTTACACTAGTGAAACAATGTGGTGCTTGAATATGTATGTTTGATTTATTTCACTTATGAGTGTGGTCTCTAGTTGTAACCATTTACCTATAAAAGCCTCGAGTTTATCTTTCTTTACAACTGAGTAATATTCCATTATATAAAAGTACCACAATTTTCTTATCCAGTCCTCAGTGGATGGCCATTTGAGTTGCTTCCACATTTTAGCAATTACAAATTGTGCTGCTATGAACATAGGTGCACATATATCACTGTGATATGATGCTTTTAGATCTTCTGGGAAAATACCCAGCAGGGGGATAGCTGGGTTGAATGGGACCCAAAAATGGGCAGCTGATATGAATACACACTTCTCAGACAAATGAGCACTGTGTCTTGATGGGTGTATTATATTGTCACTTGCCAATACATTTATCATTCAAATTTCATCATTTAAAATTTATTTTCTTATTACTTGAAATCTTTAGCTCTAGAAATTTTGGCTTTAAAGTTTCTCATTAATTTGACAGACATTTCATAAAGTATTTATTATTATAATTCAAGCAGAGGGAGTAATATGAAGATTTTCAAAGTTGAGATCATCCAGTGTAATTCTGTTTCATCCTATCACTTCCCATCCCATTTGATACAATAATTTTTCCAAATATTCTACACTTTACAGGATATTGTGTTAGCTTTTCTAGGGAATGTAAAGGTAATACACCTTACATATAACTTCTGCTCATTCAAATGCTCCAGTGGCTCATCTATGTCTCCCAGGAAAGTCTAGAAATGTTCTCCTGTCTCCTTCCTACACTCCACATCACAAATTCATCCTCTGCTCCACGAAAGCCCGGGAAATGCTTGATTTTTCTGTGTTCTTTCTCCCATTCCAGGTGGTCTGAGTCCTTGTAGCTGTTGTTAAATGCTTAGGTCGTGCTCATTTCAAACTTTTGTGAAGGTGTCTCTAATAGTTCTGGAAATACCCTTTTGCTTCTCTGAATTCTTAAAGCAATTGTGCCTGAAATGCTTTTCTTAAGTGCACAAATGTATATTGCTTTGTACTTTGCTACGTGACTCACACCACAACACTTAGACTAAACATGGAACTCCTTAAAGGCAGTAACCAGTTTTCTGCATTTTCTTTTGGTTTGTTTTGTTTTCCATTTCCTTTTTCATTATGTTTCCCATGGGGCCCAAAACAAGATAGTTAATTTTTTCCACTCTGTTTTTTTCAGTTGGTGCATAGTTGTACACATTCATGGCATATAGTATGATATTTCAACACATATGTACAATGTGCAATGATCAACTCAGGCTCATCAACATATCTGTCACCTCAAACATTTATCTTTTTTATTTTTACTGAAAATATTCAAAATCCTCTCCTTTAGCTATTTTGAAATTTACCACCCCACTGTGCTACAGCAACTAGAATTTAATCTTTCTCACTGTGTTTTCTGTTAATAGACAGTTTTCCTTCCTCTTCCTCTTCTCCTTCTTAGCCTCTGGCAACCAGTATTATATTCTCTACTTTTATGAGGTCAAAAAAGTATGAGGTCTATTTAGCTTCAATGCATGAGTGAGAACACACAGTATTAGTCTTCTTGTGTTTGGTTTATTTCACTTACATAATGTCCTCCTGGCATATTCACATTGCTGAAAATAAAAAAGTTCACCATTTTTGGTAACCAACAGAGCACAGGTATCTTCACACATACAAATTTCATTTGTTTTGGATATATACACAATAGTGGATAGCTGATTATAGAGTGGGTCTCCTTTTAGTCTTTTCAAGAAGCTCCACAGTGTTACCCATAGCGGTGATACTAATTTTCATTCCCAGCAATAGTCTATAAGAATTCTCATTTGAAGAGAGTTGAGTGAAAATCTTTCTTCTACTAGTACTGACATATACACTACATAAGATTCTTTTTCTTAATCCTTCAGACTCCCTGGCACCCAGCACAGTCAGACACATAGTATGCACTTCATAATGAATGGATGAATGAGCCATCTATTAAGCTGTCCATTTCTAAGCTCCAAATCCAGCCTTCTGTACCCTGCTTTGTGGAGCCACACTCTTTGCAATCGTATTTCTTCTCTGCCATCTGCTAGTCAGGGTGCTAGAGAGAGATGGAGGCTACAGCCAGAGCACAGACTTGTCTTTGTGTACTTGGTGAGAATGTTGCTGATAATGGTTGCCATCCTGGTGACGGCAATTACTCCCAATGTCCAGATATGTTCTGTACTTTCCCAGAATCAGCTGGGTGTGCGTGGATAGCTGAAATGTTACCCTGTACTCTGCAGTCTGTCTCAGCCCCACACGGTCCTTTTTTCCAGGATTACGGCTTCTAATAACCCCAACCTCTGCTTTTTTGTTTTCCCAGCCCTTAGGGCGGTAGCTACTTCCTCATTGTCTTTTTCTCTTCTCTCTTTTGGTTCTCTGACAATTGATTAATCAATTCCCTATGTTAAATTCTTTCTTCAAAATAACTGATATGGTCTTTGTTTTTCAGGCCAGATCCAGCCTGGTAGAATAAAGAGTAATCTTCAAAGATAGGCTTGACTTTTCCTTATTTTACTGAGGGGGAAATACAGACTCAGAAATGTTGTGTTAACTTCTCCAGATCCCAGCTCTAGAAATGTGAGAGTCAGTATCCAAACCCAGCATTAAAAGCAAGCGAGCAAACAACCAGATATGTTACTGCTTAGAACTGTGCAGGGATACTCAAAAGGTAGAGTCTCAAGTACACATGTTAGTTGTTGGATTTGTAAGATTTCTCGGCATAATCTCTGCACAGGATTATGGCACCGCGTAGGGTAGTTCCATTTCATAAGTTTAGCTATGAGGTCCCCTTTGCCAACAATAGTTTTGCAGTTTTATCAATTTTATCCTACTGCTGAGCAGAAGACACATCGAAGCCCATGGTATTTGCCATGGAAATGAGCACTGGGTAATTCCAGCCTTGCAAATATAATAAGGACTGCAACTTTATTTGATTAAAACCCTTCGGATTGGATTATTAATTTGCCTTGGGGAAAACGTCCTTTTTTCCTGTGTTCATTTGACTCTTTCCATAACATTTTTTGCATTCCCAGGGCTTCTTCCAGCCTAGAAAACAGATGGGGGCAAGATTTGGAGACAACTATTCTTAGTGCATAACTGGCACTCAGTCTTGAAAAAACAGGGGACAACTAATGGATGTTTAGGAAGATGAAATCTCAAAACTGTGGATTAAGTTACCATCTGAGGCAAAAGGAGAAAAAAGCTGAGTACATTTTCCTAATCAGCAGTTACAGAATTCTATTCCCTCTACAATATATATTTATATAAATGTATATATTTTTTTACTTTTGTCACTGGGAATTGGACACAAAGCCTTTGCACTGAGCTCTACCTCTGTCCTTTTTTATTCTAAAATGAATTTAAATTTAGAGCTCGGGTCTTCCTAAGTTACTAAGTTGCTGTAGCTGGGTTTGAACTTTCGATCCTTTCATCCTGGCATCCTTGAGTACTGGGATTACACGTGTGTGTCACCATTTCCAGCCTTTGTCAGCATTTTTAAATAACAGATAGGAAGAATAAGCCAAGGATGGGAAAAAGAAACAAAGCATTTCTGTGGCATTAGGAAAATACTTTTTTCCTGAAAATCATCTGAATAAGGAACAAAGCCGCAAAGAAAACAGTAGTTTACTTCTCTGAGGAAATGCATATAGAAACAGAAAGACAGATTGCTTAAAAAGTACTGCGGGATTTGGTGAGCTTTCCAAGGTAGCACTTGTTTCAAATTTATATGCAGGGATGATGTCTTTGATTGTAAATATGCAGTTAGCAGATTTCTTGGAAAGCGCGGCATCAGTTCCTCCCAGCCCCCAAACTCACCCGCTTAAACACACACCCCTCCCCGTATTTATTTTTGTTTCCACTCAGACCTTCC